CTCCTCCTCTTCCTCACGACCATCATCTTCATCCTCATGCTCCTCCTCCTCATTGGCAACACCTTGAAATATGGGAGGGCTGGAAGGAAATGCTCCTCCCCACAGCCATCGGGATTCCGCGGTGTGGTAGTTACATAATTGGTTGTCACTTTGAGAGGATTAAGAGCGAAGGGGTGGAGTTTAGTCTGTCAATGAGGTCATAGCTTGATGACCTCATCTGGAGGTGCTAAGGAGATAAATAGCTCGCTGGAGGCAGGACGCAGGCTTACTCCCTGCCAGACATTGCAGCTGGCCAGACACATGGAGCTGCACTAGTGCCCTTCGCTGGAGAAGCGCATGCTTCCACCACCACTGGATCCACAAGACTTCCCACCCACTGGCCTGTGATCATCCTGCATTAGGTGAAACTGCATGTGTTTTGTGAGTCTGAAGAGGACTTTATAGATTGGTATCAGACACATGAGTTAATATCAAACTTAAGGACTTGATCTGGACTGGGTTAGGATGTTTTCTCAATGTTCCACTGCTCTTGTATTTAAAGCTCGTTCTTATACTCATATGAGTGTCTATAAATTTGTTTCTCTAGTCTACCCAGACTAACACACGTGGGGAAGGTTGTCTCACTCCATCCTGAGAGAGTGATAGTCTATCGTTTCAACATCCTTCTCTGTGGTCATCCTCCTCTGTGGTCATCCTCTTCTGTGGTCCACCACCAGGACCGTGACCATCGCCAGCCGGTGTCCTCAGTGACCTACACGCACCCTTTCATTGACTTCTCACAACGCTCGTGTGAATGAGGATTGTTACTTCTGCTGGACAGTTGAGGAAACGGAGTCTCCATGAGTTCAGATGAATTTCCAGCGGTTGACCTATGATCCTGGTAATGATATTCAACACAATGTATGTAGTAAAGAACCTTGTGTTTTGAATGGGAAGACTACAAGCCTGGGCCCACCTACCGTACGAGCCCACCTCTACCACTCAGAGAGCGGATGTCTAATCTGGGGCAGGCACCTTAGTCATCGTAGTGACCACTCTTCGTGGAATGGAGTGGTCTGGCTGAAGAGGGAGGTGGCGGTGCTGTGGTAGAATTCTTGCCTTCTGTGGGAGAGACTTGGGCTCAACCCAGTGCACTTCCAGCGCAGACGCCATGCCTCTGTTGTGTTGCTGCTGGGGGACTGACAGTGAGGCTTCCGGACGATGACACGCGAGGCGGAAGGGCCTGGTGACCTGCTTCTAAAAACCCAGCCAGTGAAAACCGTAGGGAGATTATGTAACTACCATAGTCACTGAGTCAAGTGCAAAACTGTCGGCATCACCCAGGAATCTAACCCAGAGGAGGAACCCGATCGCTCTTCCTTAACTGGGTGGATGATGAAGAAAGCAAGCACGCTTAGATACGTCACGAACATGCACTCCACGATCTGCCATGCAGCCTGATTTATAACCAAAGGTCTTTTGCTGTAGCTGGAAGTTTCTATGGAAGTAGACAAGTAGGCAGGTAGGTAGATGGAAAGGCACACAGATAGATGCAGGAGCAGAGGAGCGTGCAGGCGTGAGGGACGGAGAGAAGAGAGAGCGGCATCCCATTTGCAGGAGAGTTGTTCAACTCACCCTCCCATGTTTTCTGTTTGGGGCAATAGATGTTCATTCAGATCTTAAAGATGAGCCTCCTCGAACTTCTTCCCAAAAAGAAATCTGATGACGAATTATACCAGAAGATTCTTTCGCAGCAAGAAAAGGTAAGTCTGTCTTCAACTTACACCTCAAGGTGGCTGTGGCAAGCGTTCGCTGCAACATACAGAACTTATATCACGCCAGAGAACTGTCTTTGCCTTTGTGTACGCAATTAGTTAATGTACACTTTTTAATACCATAGCATGTCATATCACGTACGTGTTCAAATAATAAGAGTAACGACGTTCGGGAAATGTTATAAGCAAGCGGCCAAAAAAGAGAAGACCGTTGGCCACGTCCGCCACTCAAAAGACAATCTGTGAGGTGGCTTCCAAAAATTTCATGGAAAAGTTCCATTACCGTTCCATTCGTTTTTTCCACAAGCTTTCCGAAGGCCCCTGCTGTTTGTTGGCTCTCACTGTCTGCACTACCGGGTACCCTTTCCTCGTGCATCAATCTCTTGTACACAGCTTCGTTGTTTCAGTGGCTGTAGCTGAAAGAGGCAGGGTTTGGAGTCACACTGGTAGAGGTTGGTATCCTAATTCTACAAGCTCTTTAGAATCCTAGTTGTGTGTGTGTGTTTGAAGCGGGGAGGATTCCTTCTGACATAAAGGTAAGGGAGCATGTGTCATTCACCTAGGAAAGTCACAGCTAGATGCGGAGCAGGTGACAGCTCCCACCACCCTCGTCATCACAACCACCACCGGCAACATCCCCTTCATCCTCACCATCACCACCACGGTCTCCACCGCCCCCACCATCATCATCTCACCTTATCACCACCATCCTCTTCAGTACTGCCGTCTCCACCATCATCTACATCATTTTTATAACCACCACCAGCATTACATCCTCCTATTCCTCAATGCTACCCTCACACCATCATCACTTACATCATTCTTATTACACATCCTCTACAGCATCACCATTACCACCAGCATCACCACCGTCATCTCAGCCTTACTACCACCATCAGGGTCGTGTTAGACCTGGTAGACTAGTGAAATAAATCCAGAGACACTCTTATAGGTGTAAGAGAGAGTTTTATATCCAAGAGCAATTATATGTTAAGAAAACATCCCAGCCCAGTCCAGATCAAGTCCATACGTCTGATATTAGTCGGTATGTCGGATATTAGTCTATAAAGTCCTCTTCAGACCCATGCAACACATGCAATGACGCAGAATGCAGGAAGATCACAGGCCAGTGGGTGCAAAGTCTTGTGGGTCCAGTGGCGGTGGAAGCATCTCAGCGC